CCTCGCTCATGGCTCACTAAGCCTCAGGCACTCGCGACCGCATGTGCTACAGCACCATGCGCTCGATGTCGATGGAGTACAATCCATCGGTGCTTGCCGCTCCCGCACTTGCCGATTCTTCTCTGCATGTATGAGGTCATTCTCCCGCACTTCGGTAACTGCCTTCGTGATTAGATCGCGCCATGCACCACGATCAACCGCCTTCGATTCCTTTGATCTGCAATTGAAATTGGAACGTAAGAGGCTCACATTGATCATGTCCTGGTAACGTAACATTGGTTTTCTCACGTGCCGCTTCCCAATACTTAGCTGACCATATGACAGTTGTTTCGGTATCCGCGTCGAATCCATACAGCTCACATGACCGAGCCACCTCAGGTGCCTCAGCAAAATTATGCAGTCCACTGCGTACATTCCACTTTGTCGCAACACTTCCTTGTCCGCAACTCTGTCGCCCCAACCGATGCGCAAAATCCGTCGCAAACACAGCTGATGGAACCGCTCGAGATACCGCATATCCCGACGGTACATCGTCCACGTTTCACTGCCGTATAGAAGAACGGACAGTATCATGGATTTGTACACCATCAGCTTCATGCCAATGGTAAGCTGATGGATGTTCCACACTCGGTACTCAAGCTTCCCGAATGCTGCCGCTGCATTCGACACGCGAATACGCAACTCAACGTGTAGCTGCTGATCAGTCGACATCACACTCCCAAGGTAGCAGAAGCGGGAGTTGGTTTCTAATACTTCGGCACCAATGCTGATTCGCGGCAATATTGAAGGTTGCACATCCGGCGAAGGCAGAAAGAGACAGGCAGTTTTGCTTGTGTTGTTGGTGAGCCCGAATTTGGCCGCTGTCGAAGCCAGAGCACTAGTCGTATGCTGCAACTTATCCGCGCTGTGTGAAAACAACGCGCAGTCGTCAGCAAACAGCAACATACGGATAGTTGTCACATAGACTAGAGTTCCCGCACAGAAACGACGGACGTTCAGCAACCCACCATCAATACTGTGCTCCACACGAACACCGTAAGCACAAGCGGCATCAAAAGCACAAGCTATCATGGCATGAAGATAAATATTAAACAGGACAGGAGCTAACACAAAGCCTTGCGTTACACCGGAGACAACTGCAGTCATCTCAGGTCTCTCCACTTAGCTGCAAACTCTTCCGCATCCCAGTGTGCAGACATTCAATTAAAATTACAAACTTACGAGGACAAGCAAACTCGCCTAACACCAGCCACAATGCCTCGCGGTTCACCGTATCAAATGCTTTGGTGTAATCAACAAACCGCGAGTATAACGGCTGGTGTCGCTCTCTGCACTTCTCCTGCAACTGACGAGCCGCAAACGCCATATCTATAGTGCTGCAACCCGAACGGAATCCACATTGCTTTTCCTCGACGTTCGGTTCCACAACCTGACTGACGAGACGGTTGAGCAGGATTCAGCCATTCACTTTGCCTAAACAACTAAGCAAGTTGATGCCACGATAATTCGTGCAACCTTACTTGCTCTCTTTGTCTTTGTACCGTGATAACACAAGGGTATCCTTCAGCTCAGGATGCACCTCCTCCTCAATCCACGCGGGTCCGTCGTCCTTCAATACTTCAAGCTGCATCCCTTCGGCTCCGGCACACTTGCCGTTTCGCATCTGAGCTAGTGCTCTGTGCGTCTCATCCAATGTCGGCGTGTCCGCCGAACTCACCTTCACATCGTGCTGCTTCAGGCCGTTCACTGTTGGCCAGTCAATCTCTGAACATTTGTTCAAAACATTGCTATTGTTTTTGCCAAATCTGCATTATGTCTGTAGTCTGCGTGCAGGTGGCGCCCGAACTAACATCCATTAGCGCCCTCCGTGGATCCGGCCTCGCTTCATGCAATGCCTTCAAGGAGTCGAAAAATTCCTCGGCTTGGCGGTGTTCGGAGTAGCATTCCATCTGCTTTGCCCTTCTCGGTTTATGATGCATATTTTATTCGACGGGCCTCTCGAATCAGTCGCCGTCGAACGTTGCGGAACTGGCTCGTCTCCCCCAAGTCACTGTGTTCTGTCACATGTGCGGCATATGTCATCTTTCTCTCAGACACCAAAGCGCCAATTGTTACATTGTTTTCAATAAACCATTTGGGCCGCTTACAGTTTTCGCGCTCGATGGTCTGCTCTATTGCAGCTGTCACCTGGCCGCGCACGTGGTGTCACTGGTCGGCAACTGTGTTTTATGCAGCTCACATCATAGAGGCTGCAGGTATCGCCGTCTCCAGATCCATACATTTCTCCACAGTACAAAAGGAGAGAATGCAACAACGCAATACGTAAATGAACGAAAACACTTGTACAATTTGGTCTGCACCATCTTGTGATCAGTGACACCCTCAGCTCCACACGGAACACGTGTCATGCGCGCTTCACGTATGTCACGCTGACGTACGATGACATAGTCGAGCAGGCGAGCGTGACCACTCCGTCGGTGCGTCCAAGTTGCTAGATCACTCGCACTCAGTGCAAACCGAGTGTTCGTGGTCGTCAGGCTGTGAGTGGCACACAGTGAGGGAAGCCTGTCACCGTTCGTATTCGCTGAACCAATGCCATGCGGACCGATGACATCTGTCCACGCCGGTTCATCAAACCCAAGCACGCGTTGAAAGCACCCAGCAGAAATAGTCCGTCGCTCCTCGGCACAGACCGTATCGCGGAGGATAGTTGGGTGTGGAAATGATCACGGGTGTCATCAGGATAACACGTGGTAGTACCGTACGTGTTTGTATAATTTGCAAACATAACTCTTCCAAGTCTTAACGAACAGTCGTCGTGCGCTGATATCAGTTGGTTCACCCACCTGCTGCCAGATAGGCGATCGGTTTTTGCAAATCCGACCTTACCTTCACGCGGTGCTGAGATGGTGTTTTTCACTCATTAGAAGGTATAGCCATCACCATCTTCGGGCAACGCCTTGCTGAGCGACCCGGCTTAAATGAGCGTCGCAATATCGATGTTTATCACGCTAGTTTCATCCAGAGCAATGCAATGCATCGCTTGAGGCAGTTACTCGAGTTTTCGTCCAGTAGTTTGTGCACGTTTCCGAACCCTACGTTGTGCGCTTTGCGCGGAGGTATACGAGTGCTTTGACGGGGATGCATATGAGCGGTGACGTCCTACATTGGAGGAAACAGTGGATAAATTAAAACGGGTGCATGAAGAGTATTTGCACTGGAAGAAGAAAGATGGAAGGTGCCGGCAGTGGCATGTTTTTGCTTATCCACTCAGCTGTATGCGGCAGTTATGGCGACCTTTTTCCTAAGGCCACTGCGAGACGGCCGGTGCAGCACGTATTTATTATTATTGACGTAATTCTTGTTTAGGGGGTTAGACTAGAATACTGCCAGGGCGCCCACACCTGACAGGTGCACGACTCGGGTACTCAGCCAAAGTCTTAGTTAAATTATACACCCGAAATTCAGCGGGCCGAGCGCCATGAGTCAGTGAACCGATTGACTCAGAATTGTGTCCTGAATCTTAGATAGAAGGAGGGTCTTACCAAACTCGCACCCAGTGGACCCCACGAGGAGGCGCCCAGCAGAAATAGTCCGTCGCTCCTCGGCACAGACCGTATTGTGGAGGATATTTGGGTGTGGAAATGATCACGGGTGTCATCAGGATAACACATAGTAACACCGTTCCTGCTTATAATATTGGTTGGATCATCTGCATGCACATACATAACTTTGCCACGTTCCATTTTGTCTCGCTTATGCAAACTGCTTGCATACTGATTTTTTTGTTTTGATGCGTGGAAATCTGGTATTATATTCCTTTTAGTAATGCTGATTCAAGTTTTGTGAACAAACTGTTCGCAGTCTTGCAACTAAGATAAATTAACTGTATTTAAATATGTTTGACGTAGCAATTATTTTAGATTCTCTACTCGTTAAATCTGCTTGTTTGTAGTGGCTCTATTACTTCAAGCTTTGTTGGGAGCAATCCCGTCGTTAGGTTATTAATTTACGTATCTGCTATTTGGCTGCGTGTTCAACACCTTTAGAAATTATACGCGAGAAAATTCAGTTCAGACATTGGTCGGCAATTATGTGTTAAATGCGATGCACTGTTTTGCTTGATATTCCATTCGGAATTTTTGCGATCATTTTGCTGTCTTGCTACGAAACTTCTCAAAATTCTAAAATTTGGCATTTTCTGCGTCAAAGTTTCTATTATGATATTAAGCAGATGACTTGTATGGTATCCATGGTTCTTTTTTAGATTTATCAGTTTGACGAACACATCAAATTTTGGTCCTTATGTATGCCACTGCATGTCAGCTAACCAGCTTCATATAATACGTCCCTGGTATTCTAATAACAAGCACTGTCTGCGGTTATTGCAATCTAGTTGGACAAGGAATTCTCAGATATTACAACAAATAAACCAAGTAATTGGACAAATGCTGGATCCCACTGGGAGCATGATCCGAAGAATTGTTGCTGTGGTAGGACTTATCCATCTAGCGCAAGTGAAACAAATTATTCGCTTTGGTTAACACAATCCTATGATCGACGGATTATCTTGCATATTTATATCACTTGATGAGTACCATGTTCCAGTTGAGAATAATGGTTTTAGTAACTAGGTTACTTGAAGAGCACTGCATCCGCAATCGTATGTTTCATGGCGTGCTTACCTTGTTATCACACTAAACGTGGTTGCGCCTGCGTTCGTGAACTTCGGTCGTCTTGAAAAAATGTTCTGTAACACCGTTTGCGCACATGAAGATAGGTTGACACGCGCATGCGTTGTATGAGAAATGTGCACACTACTCTTTAGCTATTTCTCATAAAGACCTCATGATTGATAATCAGAGATAGTAACAAATTTTGTAGAATGGCTTCCTTAATTTTTACGCATCTTTCTGATGTGCAACCCAGAACTTATTCATAAGCTCATTAAATGCGTGTATATTAATTGTTATCCCTGTTTTCCACTGTGATTTTAACAGGTCCTGTTGGCGGCCAAATGACAGCGTCACAATTGCGCCTAGTTTTATTAAGTCTTGGGTTTCTTGTGGTTCCACATTCCATGGTCCTGTACTCCGTAGAAGGTAGAATATCGCAAGATGGTCAGCCAATTGGTTCACATGAACAGTCGATTGCATTGGTGAAAGAAATTGACATGCTTTTGGGCCAAGTGGAATACGTCAGCAGTGCAATGCATGAATATGGTGCCAATCATTCTAGTTATCTACCACACGTTCACCCGTAGTTTGTCAAATATTTTTCCCACCATCTTTTAAAACAATAAATGCAGGTGTTCAGCATTTTCCTGTTCTTACTGCCCATCAAATGTCCGTTATCTAAACTAATTTGCACAACCCTTGCAATACCTATGGGATGGAACATTCTCTGCCTTTCGGCCAGCTTTGGTGAATAAGGTAACAGTTTAGGGATGATTGTTTGCATCTGATACAGTTTTGGGAATTCATTTTATCATAAGGAGTAACTCTTGCTTAGTTACAAAAATTTCATTTAATCCGAAGGCAGATTGAATGACAAGTATCTTGCATATTACCACATGAATTACAAGTGTCATAGGCTGGTCTACTTAAAAGTTGTCGTCATTTGCGCTCTGTCTACCAAACGTAACTTCCACACAATCTGACCAATGTGAAGGCGAATTAGTTGTAATTTACCGCGCTATTTGGAATCGGCGCTATTTCCGCGTGTTTGGAATTAATGCTAGGATGCATGTGTCTTTCTACTTCATAGTATAAAACTGTGGGTTTAAACAAGTAATGATCCTTTTATCTGTCTGGGAATCTGTATGCGACAAATTCCATGCAATCAATTGCGAAACGTTTAGATCTGCGGCCATTAGTGACAACCGTCTGCTTAACTCCGAGGGCAATGCACGCATGAGCAGACGAAATGACTTAACCTACAACCATTTTTGTATAAAACCGTAAATAATAATATTGTTGGCAGGACTATACATTCTCAGTTGATTGGTGGGCAATTTTGCACTGGTGTAGTACAAACTCTTATGCAAGTAGCGGCCTGTCCCAAACATTGTTGGTCTACAAGATCCAAATTTTGCTTTCGGTTCCATCGGATAGTTTCTGTACCGGGTTTCTGCGTGTCTGGCGCAGCTCTGGATTGAGCACTCTATAAATGTACCAATAGCGCTATCAGAAAGTGGAGACAATTTAACAGCCTCATATTCGTTGGTAAGGACACCATGGTGCTTGAGATATTTAGGCGCGTCTAGAGCGAATTTGAAGGTTTGTTCTTTTACCATAAGTTATTTTTGAGTGTTTGTCCAATTATACTAAAAGCAACATCTCAAATTCATTAGTGTATTGATTGCAGGTGAGCTTCTTGAATGGTTTAAGGAAGCTTCACTAACTTATTGTCCTTCAGCTGAAAATTTCCGTGGGAGCTCTAATTCGAGCGCAATCAGCTGTTTACTCCTGACTGTTTGTTCTTTTTAGCTACAAAGGGACAACGCCAATGATCCATCGTTTTGGATAGTACAGTAAATTGACATTCGACTACCAAAGTAATTCATGTTTGGTTTTACATGGATGGATATCTCAGGGATATCCTGGGCAAGTAGAAAACAGTTAGTACTTGATCAAACGATGTGCAAATAAGATAAGATAAGTTAGTACCCAGCTCTATCTTTCTTATAAGGCTTTTTGTTACCATGTTTCAAGATCCGTTTGTGGTATAAGGCGTATATGATGGCTGATCCAAATTGCATTCACAAATGTGCAACACTAGCAAAGATAGTTGTCGAATACGCATGTGTCTGCGAATTCTTGTTTGCAGTAAGGCGATGATGAAGACGCGAGATTGTACAGTGTTGCCCTCTGCTCTGCTGTTCGGCTACACACGCCTCTATACATACTCGTACGTTAAATGGGAGATACTGTGTACGTTGTTGAAATTATGTGAGTAATCGAAATAAACCTAGTTTCTCGTGTTAAAAAATTGCTTTAGGTTTAAAAAAATTTTGGGAACAGCTTGAAGATCCTAAGAGGAAAATCAATAATACAAGGCTACTTCTATTCTACAAAACCAAGGTGAATCGGCACGAGGGTTTTGCAGTAATTAAAATATCTGTGCGCGAGAAACTTGTATGATTCTTGTTGAACGAACGTTGTATCATTTGTCCTGCAGACCTATTAGCTTACAGGATAATTGTATGCAGGATTCTAATTACAAAGACATCGTTTATATCTGCTCAGCTTGTATGTTTAACTGTTAAAATGTTAAATACAAAATGTTGCATCTAAAAATTTGGCATTTACTGTGCGCACTTTGGGGACCCCGAATAGGGTACATCTAAATCCTGCACTGTGACAATGTGATGGTTTTTATCCTAGATACCATTAGGTGGTGAGGCTTGAAGATCGTAGCTGTCATTTTGGATACCTTCTTGATATACGGCAAGATGAGCCACGTGGTTGTAGGTAGCGCATTTGTAATTAGTTTCAGGTTATAGATAGCACGGCAAGAGAAGTGTTGTATAATAGAGAGATTAACTGTGTTTTCAGATGGATTCGACTGCGCTAAAGAGATTCCGCATCCAACATATTTGGTGTTATTTCGAGTAATTGTCGTAAATTTTAAGTTTAATCAATGTAGGCTTCTTTCCTCTTAACGGAAGTTTGATACTGTCCTTCCACTCTCCATGCAACTATCACATCCAAGTGGGGTAGTTTGTATTTTATATTTGATTTATTTATGAAAAGGATGCCGTCTATTGCGTCATTCGGTAGCATCCATGCCGTTTACAGCTCTGTTTGAGTAAGACATAGGTGTCTTCCACATATCACCACATAAATATGGATTAAAAAAGATTATTGAAAGGAAATTACTTTCCGTTAGGTCTGTTCAGGCATGTATATAACTATGAATCTGGTTGACATTAGAATAACGCGCTATATTTGGCTTTGCACAATTAAGCCGGGTAGGGTCTGTGGGTTAAATTTGGGAACGGGTTCTACTCCAAATGCTGTATTATGACCTTTTCAACTGGTTACTTTTAAAGGTAATCTCATTAATGCTTCTTTAAGTCGCGCATAGACCACGCAATTCAATTTGAATTATGTGGCAAAGGATAAGGAGGGCAACTTGCATAAGTTAAAGGTCGTCCTTCACCAGATGATTTATTTAAATCATCTGTGATAATTTCCTTTGCCATTTGAAAATTGACGAAGGTAAATAGAGCGGTAACCTCGACAGAGTTCATTATATCCTTGTGCCATACTCGCAGACAAATTATAACGAAACCTTTGTAACCAAACGGAAGCGTTATCTCGACTATCAATCTGGTCTCAGTCATTTCACTGTTGACAAATTGCAATTTCCACTTACGTTTTTCTTTGACGTGCACACGCTTTTTGATACATTTATTAACCTGAGTTCCTTTACACAGTAAATTTGGTATGCCTATGCCTATTTAATTCTGTTGCGAAAAACTCGGTAGCATAGTAATGTGGAAGTTAGAGCTATTCAACTCGATGGCTAGTTTCCCATCAGGATTGCGCGCCCAGGAAGGCCCCAGTTTCGAGGTGGAGTCGCTGTCACTTAGGTTAACCATCGCTCGTGCAACTCAGCAATCGTGCTATTTACCTACTCAACAAGTCCGATAAGCTGCTATCTAATCTAATACAAATCATTGATCTTAACTACATTTCGCTCTGTCACCGCCGTAAAAGTCTACATAGCTTTTGCTAAATCTGCATCACTCGAAATTGTTTTGTGAACATTTTAATAAAAATCATTTTGATTCTTACTCTACAATGTGTGGATAATATTTTGTGTGGTATCTTCCCACAGTATTCATAGTTTCATTCGCAAATGCTACTTTCCCACTTTAGTTCACTTTGCATCATTTTTCCAAAGTAACGAAGGAATTACCAAGTGGATCCTGCTCGAAAAGGTTTGGAAACACGGCAAATGTCCATACATACTTTGCTTGTAGTGCTAGAGTTCATATTTCCTGTGTTGGATTACCTGCCGATTCCTATCGTCTTCTGCGTTCCATCCAACATGATTTTATCCAACATTTGTGCAACAAATATCACCGCCTAAGGAAGTCGTAGAATGGTATAACGTCTACCAATGCAGAACGTAACCAAAAACGTTTAACTGTGAGCAGTTCTAGAACTGCCGTCCCGCAAACTGGCCTAAAGTCCATCCAAGATTCAATCCAGCCTTCCTCCTTTTCAAAGCCCTCTGACAACTCGTTACGTCGATATCCTGTTTCCGGAGACATGACACTAACTGAGGTCAATGATCCACTGATTTTGAGCTCGACTAGCGCTAATGACGCAGATGAACGTGCAATACGTGAGGTGGCGTGGAAAACTCAACGACGGAAGAAGCCACGAAAAGAAGAATAACTTCCTACTGACCAACAACAGGCCAGATCAAACAACGCTAGAATCCACGCTTCTCCTGCAAGAACCACTTTGAATGACAAGAGGTCATTAAATCTGATGCTTTTTCACGCGCCTGGGTCCAACGATTCAAGTCCTCAGGCATACTGTCAGCATGACGTAGGGTTACTACAGAGCCTGTTTGATTGGCTCCTCGATGTGGGTGAGGACGGAGTGAAAGTGAAGCAAGTCACCTGCCTCGGCAAGAACAGTGCTGAGAAAGACCGACCTATGCGGTAACTTTTGCTGACGAAACCAGCTCGAAGCTTCTACTGTCTCGGCTAGGTAGATTGGGAGGTGATAGGGTGCATATTCGTCCGGATATCGATCCAGCTGTCCGGGAGCGCCTCAAGTGTGCCATCATCGAGCTAAAGTGACGAACTCGTGTGGGATTAACTAACCTACGTACTGTAAATTTTCGGGTGCTTACAACACGAATGCGAATTCGGATAAATCGGTCACTCGCACTTTAGGCTCTCCCGATAGCTCTTATCACAATCTGCGTGTAGCCTTTGCCAACATCTGCAGTCTTATGAACAAGCGCAACGATCCGTGCCGTTTCGTTGCTTTCGAGCCACCAGATGTAATGGGACTCGCAGAGACGTGGTTGAACGATCAAGTACTCACCCAAGAAGTTGAGCTTAGTGGCTACACGTGCTTCCGCGGTGATAGGCTATCGAATGCCCACGGTGGTGTCTTGCTCTATATCCGGTCTTCTCTATGTGGAGGACTCGTGAGCGTTCACTGAAGCGAAGCTGACCTATGGAAGCAGTTGTGTTGCTCGATCCCTCTCAAGCATGGAGACCTGCTCGTGTGTGCATTCTGTCGCAGTCCCCTGAGCCGCTGTTTGGATTGGCTGCCGTATCTCCGAG